ATGTTTGTTGCCAACGCACTCCACTAAGCTCGGTCTCCCACCAACCCAAACAACTCCCCAAACCATCACGCTGAAACCATCATGCTTCACAGTTGGCTGCAATCAGTTAAGCCAAAACTCTTGGTGATGAATTCTACAGACCCATATCCTTCCACTGTCCGAAAATTGAGCGAATCTTGATTCGTCTGAGAACAATACGGTCTTCCAAAAGTCCAGAGGCTTGGTCATCATACCACTTGCCCACTTCTTTCGTCTGACTATGTTGGAAGGTCTTAATAAGGACTTCCGTCTAGCTGCTCTGCAACGATAACCCAATCTGTGAAGAACAGATTTCGGGCTCATCCCACCAACTTTGGCCACTTCTGCAGTCGTTAATCTGGAATCCATTTCGATGGTCCTCTTGACAGCCTTTTTTGTCCCCTCCGATGGACCAGGACGACCCGGACGCTGCTCAGTTGTTTCCCTGCCGTGTTTCCTGAACTGCACGATGATTCTGTTGACTGTCGAAAGCGGGATTCCCAAATTCTGCTTAACCAACTATCCTTTCTCTAACAAAATCTGACAGTTCGAGAGAACCTTGAGTTCTAGGCATGTTGTAGCAAAAGATAATTAGTGTGCGGACCATTTTCATTTATATAGTGCTCTGTGAACACAAATTAGTTAACATAAATCAGTTAAATGACGAAAAATTAGGTGCCTATTTACTTGTGACCACTCAGTGTATATTAGGTATTCGTTTGCATTGCTAATAATTATCATATACTGTTTGAAAAACATTTAGTCACTTCGTACTAAGTTCATCCTAGAAGCAGATATAAGATATTAGTGAATTGTGGATTCGATTATAGTCACCTACCGTTATCTAAGGGACTAGAGATAGATATACGTTGTGCTTCATTTTAATACTAGTAATAAACGACCTTTTAACATCAGATTTGTTATTTTTCTTCTTTGATTATACAATTAACGTTTCACTTACTGCTTCTTCAGGAGCATTCCATTAAAACAAACCTTAACAGGTCGCTTATTACAAGTATTAAAATCTCTTTTACACTCCAATATTCACCACAGAAATTAAGTTATATGTTTCACTTACCGTCGTTTGGATATATGCACTATAAATGCTGTAGATGGCGTTGATCAGTCTTATAAAAGTTTATGTATGTATTATGGTGCCTATGTATTATAGGCTACAAGCTAAGGTACCCGTCTTTTGTCGGGGTTATGAACTTAAAAAATTTGTGGGTGGATGCTATGATAAATAACGCAAAAGTTCTAACTCCCACATAACGTATTATTATTGTATTCATTATTACCTCACCAAAAGTTTTGTACAAGTTTTAATAACTCAATATGTATATACTTAAAACATTTGCGATGGTCAGGGTGACTTTGTAGGAAGAGGTAGTGGCGGTAGAGTTGGTTGCTTTCTATTACCCGCTTTTATCACCCATATCTTAATGTCCTTCCGCAGTGCTTCGAGTGATTAATTAATTCATGGTCATTGAACGAAGTTGAAAGGTCAAGGGTCAGAGTAGGAAGTGGGTATAACCCAAGAATCGGCTTTTTATATCAACGTTGTAGTATATACTTAAAACATGTGCAATGGTTAGGGTGACTTTGTAGGAAGAGGTAGTGGCGGTAGGGTTGGTTGCTTTCTGTTACCCGCTTTTATCACCCATATATTAATGTCTTTCCACAGTGCTTCGAGTGATTAATTAATTAATTCATGGTCAACGGTCAGAGTAGGAAGTGGGTATAACCCAAGAAACGGTTCTTTATATCAACGTTGTAGTAGCTGTTGGAGTAGAAACTTCAGCTGAGTTTATGATTTATTTCAATAGTGGTGGCCATTTTTTCTCATTGTATTCCTCCGTAGAGAGTGCTAATACACTTTGAAATATATATAAGACCTTTTTTGTGCTCTCCTCCA